CTTCTGGGTTTTCTATCCCTTAAGCTGGTCTATCTTAATAGCCAAATAAAGCAGTCGGGTTTCGAAGACGCAGGTCGATAAGAGTAGTACGGAATCACTAAGTTGTTGTTTCTGCCTACATTATATTAACCCTGATGTTCATATTCCTCGTTTGTGAGGCCTTCGGAGACCGCGTTAATCCTTCCGTCAATAGGCCACACCACTGACGCAAGTGTTGACTCCCGCTTCACATATCACCTTTATTCTTGACTCGGAAGTCGCGAAAAATTCTAACAAATGTTGATAATATTAGCGCAACAAAAAATTTGTTTTCTATATCAGAAACACCAATGTCCCTAGCTTATAGAATACACTCCACTGATCGTAGAAAAGTATTCCGATGTTACCTAACTGGTCAGGTTACATTGGTATAAGCAAATGATTATTTTCAGTAATGTCATGGCTCCGGCGTACCAAATATATTTAACTGTACTGAATCACAACATATACAGAATGCGTCTATATAGCAACTAAGTTTAAAGAATCACCGCAACACTCACTGCTGACTACTGCTTGCAGCTTGACACTGGGAAATAAGGACTTCGCCAAAATGGTCGCTTGTATTATCCAGCGCCCTCACACTGGATAAACCAGCAAGTCACCCGTCATAGAAGGCATGTACTTGCCACTGTAGCGCTGCTCAAAGACTGAAATCTCTTGATGAAAGCGCTAACCACGCTCATCGCTAACAGCTTCCAAATTCTCATGGAAGAATCAAGGTGATTATGTAAAAAGTGCTCGATGGCCCGCTATGAACTTTTTGTGATATCTCTGTAGTTCTGCCTTCCCAAAAAACCGCCTTAAATGATCACTATGCTTCCAACTCAAATGAAGTTAACTGAAATTCGAAAACACTGTCTGCCATTATCCGGTGAATATCAGGCCAAGTAATTATCCCTTCGTGGAAAGTAGAAGTCACGATTAAGCCCCACACAATAATCTGCCTCGACGGGGACTCGAACCCCGGTCCAACGAATTTCCGGTCCGCTGCTCCACCACTGAGCTACCGAGGGCTGAAAATTAGGCACGCAATTTAATACATGACTTCTACTTGGTGAGCGACGCATTGCCAATGAGCTCACAATATCTGTCCTGGTGTTGCAGATTGGTTCACTCACTCGTCACTTCACAATGGACCGAAGTAACTGTTCTTCTGATGTCCATAGGGCGATGGTAGATTACGTGTAGGTTGTTTGCGAGTAGCGTAAGGTTCGTGAAAAGTAGAAGTCACGATTAAACCCCACCCAATAATCTGGTTTAATGGTGACTTCTACTTTCCACGAACCTTACGCTACTCACAAACAACCTTCAAATTATCCCTCCATTGAGCATCGTATCACTGAACTTCGGAAACACTTGTTTCAGGTATTGGAAAGCAAAATCATCCCGTTTAAGGGCATTGACGAAGTTTTTAATCAACAGAGCTTGATCTGCAGGGGTGGTAGATAGATATGATCAGGTTGCAAAGAGCTGTATGCTTTACACTCAATTTCCTGCAGCATACTCTGTCCATTCTGGCCACTATTCTGTTGTGTAGTGCTGCTGATTTGCTCTACCTGAGGTGGCCTGCTGAGAATTCGTCAATATATTTACAAAGCTCGCGGCAAGGACATCTGAAACCAAACTCTGCCGGCCTAAAAGGATAAAAATTTTCGTAAGGAGCAGGACATGTAAATGCATGGCATTAAGGGACTTGGCATGGCACACCTACATAGCCTACCTGAACCACCATACCTGGGATGTCTGCACAATACAAAGAAACCACTGTGTCAACTGAAGAACCAACAAGGTCTAGTGGAAACGTTTTGCACCAATCCCAAACTGCCATACAGACACGTGAAGAATTTGCGCCGTATTAAGCGCGGTATTCCTGTTCTGCACACAGCATGCAGGTTAGCCCAAACCGCACAAGAGGCGGCCAAAGTTCTTGGACAACAATTTGGCCGTACCTTCCAAAGCGTGCAATCATCATACATCCTGCCTAAGCAGATAACGCCGCCACCAGGGCTTAATCACATATCGTACACCTCCGCAGCTGTGCTGAAGAGGCTCATGTCTCTGCGGGAGTTCAGCTCCCCGAGTACGGAGGCATTCATCCAAAGGCGTTGAAAGTTACTGCCATGAGTTTGGTAGGACCATTAGCAATTTTCTTTCAACGATTTCTGAACGAGATGCACGTCCCCACGATGTAGAAGCACGGAATCATCACGCCTATCTACAAAAATGGTAGCCGTGCTGAACCAACAAATTATCGCCCGATAACACTACTTCCTGTGATCTCCAAGCTTATGGAGTCCATTGTAGCTGAGGCTTTGATGGGATACCTTGAGAACAACAAAATTCTCGTTCCGGAACAGCAAGCATCTCGCCAAAGTCGCTCCTGTACCACTAACCAGTTGATTGCTCGTGCAAGCTGGACGGAATCTGTGGACGCTGGTGAAGGAGTCGAGGCGGCCTACTTGGATTTCTCAAAGGCATTCGACCGTCTAGACCATCGCATTCTCCTCCACAAACTCCAGAAATATGTAGTCGGCGATCCTGTTCTGGGCTGGATAGGAAACATTCTCATGCCACCTCACTTGAATGTGAGGGTTCGAAGCAACCTATCAGAATCCATCGAAGTTAAGTGCGGCGTACCTCAAGGCTCGGTACTTGGAACCCGCCTGTTCCTGATCTTCATAAATGATCTAGTGAGTATGCTATCTTCTAACTGTTTGCTATTTGCTGATGACCTAAAGGTATGGCGCACAATAGCTGCAGTGGAAGATACCACAGTCTTACAGGAGGACCTGGACAAAGCGTACACATGGTCCATCGAGAACATGCTGCATTTCAACGTCACCAAGTGCAAGGTTCTCAGCATACGGCACGAGTATGCACAAGTACCGCCTAGGACCACAAATTCTACAGCGGACTTCTCACGAGTGCGATCTCGGCGTGATAGTTCAAGATGACCTCGGTTGTTTGAGGCAGACTGAAAAGGTATCTAAGAAAGTAAACCAGTACCTCGGCTTTCTTCGCAGAGCCTTCGGGAAGTTTGACCCTTCAGTCTTCCGAAACATGCTTAGTGCTTACGTGAGACTGCACGCGGAATACGCTATTCCAGCGTGGCAACCCTGGCTCACCGCGCTCGATACTGCACAACGTAAGGCAACAAAGAGCACCAGAAGTTTGACCAGCCTCCCCTACCCACTCAGGCTGAAGACTCTCAAAATATACAGTGGAAGTTATCGGCGTCTAAGGGGCGATCTCATAGTGCCGTATCTGTTCCTGAGAAACGTCAATCACCCATGCCATTCCATTCTAATACTCAGTCAAAACACCTCGCTAAGAGGTCCCCAGTTTAAGTTAGTCACGCAGTACAGTCGCCTGGAATGTCGGCGAAACTATTTCTCCCTTCGAGTGTCACAGCCTTGGAACGTCCTTCCGGAGCATGTAATCAATGCACACACCCTATCCCTTTTCAAAAAACGCCTTGACGATACTCTGTCACATTTACGCTACGTGCTATAGCCCATGACCACCAGATGCTGGCGCTAATGCACAACAGACAGTGGATAGTGCCATAACCCTACTTGAAAATGAGTCACTCCAAACCCATTGCAAAAATTTGATAAGCGTTACTACTATCGAAACTGAATTTCTGTATCCTGTCGACCCAAGATAGTTGCACACGAGTAAGCGTTGTCCTTGCTATTTGTTTTTTTCTCTCGCCTATTACGTGACCAATAACCACTCCCCTTATGGCTTTGTGTGCGTAGATCATAATTTCAAACCCTTTATACGGCAGCGCAGTTAAATCTGTAATCGCCCCAACTGACGATTCCATTATCACTTGATCTATCTTTTCTCACTCTAAACACCCTACAAGACATGTCAAGCACCTGCTGTTTTATCCGTTATAAATCAGTGTTCATTGCTTATACTGTCGCATAAGCACAATAAAGAGTAATATTTTGTGAATACTCCTTGTATGCCCATTATGAGTCCAAAGACTTTGAAGTCAGTACAGATGTTCTAACATTACATCGTAATTCAGTGAAACGAGTATCAGTTGCATACTTTCGTAGGTTTCCTTTATACTAGTGGTATCAACCGAGGCGCAGTTGCATACACATTTCCATTGTGCAGCAGTATAGCCTTAAGCTACTTTTGGATGAGTCAATGAACAACCGCCATTCATCACTGAGACGCCTCATGCCAAGCTGCTTCATCAGTCTTTCCAGGTCGGAACAGCAACAAATGATTTCTTTCGTGCCATAGAAACCGAACTGTTTAACACTTCGCTTTCTGTGTACAATGACAGTGCAGCAAGTAAGTGCCACTGCTGCAGTCGAGAGGCTAACAAGTCGGCCTTATCTTTAGGCAAGCCCAGCTCAAGTACCAAGCTATCCAGCGCTGATTGTTCAACAAGATGTGTGTTGACATCATCAGCTTCAAAGTTTTAACAGATGTCAGAATTAAGGGAGCTGACGATGCGGAATCACTACTCATCAGCAGTGAAATGTTCACTGGAGGCACTGGAATGAGTAAGGTGCAATCATGAGGAACAGGCCGAATAGTTGCTGGATGATCGGGATACTAAATTTTGTCCTTGTTTCGGTTGGAGATTTCAATGACACTGGTTAGGTAGAAGTAGAAGTCTGTCGTGTGACCCTTCGACTCCATCCACACCATGGGGGTTGCATTTGCCATTGAGCCACTGAGTCAGATGAAGATAGCACAACAAGCAAACATGTGGCGCCCATTACTTATCCTGATCTCTCAGTTTCATCCAGAAATCTGCGTGGTAGGCAGACTACAGTAGTGAAGAAGCAGTTCTGCACTGCGGCTTCGTAGTAAACGGTCCACAGACAACAAAAATGATTTCGATCATTGACTCAGCAGCATCGTTCAGCCATGACCAAGATAGTAATTAGGAAAACACAGCTCTCAATCGACTTTCAGTATCAGGTGGATACCATGGCCAAGAAGACTTCTTTCCACGATTACAGGGAACCAATAGACTAATCACAGACGAGAATTCGGTGCATGGAACGCACTGCACAGCTGAAATGAAAAATTAAGATTCAAATTAAATCCGACGTGATAGAAACATTTGGTTTGCATATTCATAAGCAGCTCACGTGGTACTAGTATCTTATTTTTTGTTATAAATATGATGTTGCACAGTGTAATCGGATTCTTACGCTGATCCAAGGAAGCGAAGTATCAGTACCTAATCCAAGTCATTGGTCATCCTGAGCCTTATGCGAACATCACTTTGAGGGCTAGTTGATGAATCGAGTTTGAAGTTTTCTGACTTGAAAAATTCAATGTTAGCGAACGTATGTTTTGATAATTTTTCATCAGGCTAGGACAATTATATACCAATTACATCGATTAGACAGACTACTGCGTCGTTAAAACGCGGTAGAATTAGCTTACAAGAGGTCAACTATCGCCAATAACCAGGTCAATGTCAGAGTCTTCACACGATCCAACTGAGTAAAAAGCACTACTCGATCGGGCCAGGGCAGTAGTAAGGCTTAAACCAATCGCTTCTGAGTGCACAACTTTGGTTCGTACAACCGGATTGTTATAGCTTCAGCGGCTTCTAGTATCCGTCTGTGCACATACCTCGATCGATTTTCTGAGTTGGTATATGACAGAAGTAGCTTCGCTCCAATGCAAAGTTCACGGGTATTATGCTTAAGTATGCACGTTTGAAGTGCGATGGCCAGGCAACGAGAGTTTGCATGGCTGTTTTACAATACGCACATCCAGAATATTTCAAAGCGAGTAGTATAAAGAGCCTGATTGAATCAGAGTTTATATGAAGGTATCGCAGATACGCCTGAGGTGCATTAGTAAGTATTAATGTCACTTCATCTAATGCTATATTACTTTTCTTTCATGCTAACTCTTTTTTCATCTGAAGTCAAGCAGGGTTTGATAAAATCCAATATGAAATGTCTGCAAAGTCTCCATGCTTAATAACAGGATGCGTTCATTCTTAATGTCATAAAACATTTGGACACTTTTGTGTTTCACTTAAGCCAGTGGCTTTGCTGTAAACTGGAGAGTGAAGAAACGTGTGGAGGAGGGGTAATCCTGTGTTACCGAAGCGACTTACAGTGTGAAGCCGTGGAGGATTCAGACTAGCAGTTCCCCGACTCTCTTTGGTGCCGCTTGCAGTTAAAAGGCAGGGACGCTTGCCTTATTATCTTGGTGTACTATAATTGCCGATGCACTGGTGTGCTATCTGGAAAACTGTAACATCATCACCCAGAGCAGAACCGTTTCCGCTGACAGCGGTCATGTACAACGAAGTTAATAATCGCACGCAGTAGTTGGACCGAGGCAGCTGACGCTGGAGAAGGCGTTGGTTTGTTCTAGCTGGATTCTTCCAAGACCTTCGGTCATCTAGACCATCGGATACTACTCTCCAAGCTCCAGCATTACGGGATCGGCTACCCTCTCCTAAGCTGGATTGCCAACTTTCTACTTCAATGGCAATTATTGGGCAGAGTTCGGAGCTCTTTAACTGACCCCATGCAGGTCGAGTGTGGTATGCCACAAGGCTCAGTTTTAGGTCCAACTTTGCTTTTGGTGTTTATTAAGGACCTTGCATAGGGAATCACTTCAAACTTCCTAATGTTTGCCCACGATATCAAGATCTGGCGCAGGATCCAGGAGAACGGCGACCAACATGTGCTTCAGCGTGACCTAGGTAAAGTGTATCAATGGTCAACCCAAAACTTACTGCAATTTAACGTCAGTAAATCCAAGATGCTTTCCATCCGACAACAGAGCAGCTACTCATTCCGACTCGGAACGAATATACTTCAAGGATCAACTCTCGAACGTGACTTGGGTGTCCTGGTTCAAGATGACTTGGGTTGTTCCAGGTAGTCCGAAAATGCCTCGAAGACTGGGAACCAACACGTCGGGCTGTTGCGACGGGCGTTTGGACAAATAAACAGCTCCATATTTCGACAAATGCTCAGTGCGTACGTTCGCCCCCATGTCAAATATGCAATTCAAGCCTGGCATCCATGGTTGAAACACTACCTTAATGCACTGGAGCAGCCACAAGGTCGGGCATCTAAGAACGTAATTGGAATGCAAAATCTTTCATACCAGGAGAGGCTGCAACGATTGGGGGGGGGGGGTATTCAGTGGAAGCTATCGCAGACTACGTGGAGAAATAATTATGGCATACTTGATTCTGCGAGACCCACATCATGTGTGCCGCCCTTTACTGCAACTCAGCAGTAATGCAAACCTAAGAGACCACTCACTGAAACTCGCTGTACACTATAGCCGTCTGGAGTACCGCATAAATTTCTTTTCCATTCGAGTCTGTCACCCGTGGAATGTTCTCACAGAATCGGTCGTCACCGCACCGACACTAACAGTATTTAAAAGACGGTTGAATGATGCACTCATCCACTTACACTTTGTCACTTAGCGCTACATCTCCATCCTACACCTGGAGTTTACCATGGAATTATTTGATGTTAACTGTGGGTGCTGTGAATCTAAGCGGATTGCAGGACTACAGCGGAGCAAACGATAAGTCCTTATTTTCATATTTAAAGTGCTAACTGTTTTACTATCATTATTAGCATTATTCTTATGTCGTTATCCCCATTAACTATCCAACGGGACTTGTAAAGCAACGCTTCTTAACCTGTATAAATCCATTGTTCATTGTACTTCAGAGATCTATCCTGTAGATATACGTTACTTTGCCATTTCTGTCTTGTTAACAAACAGTAATAAGTCAGTAATAAGTCACAATAATAAGTCACTGAGAAAAACCCTACACTGTCATGCAAAATCCAACCGTATTTCTACAACTTTTGTACACCATCCTACCCGTTTACTGATTTCCAGATATTATTTAGTTCAACGGCTTCTAATAAAAACAACAAAACTTAACAAGCTTTTTTCTTTTCCCTCTTAACATTGACTTGCCATCAGCACCAACGTTTATACAAGTAGAAAGTAGTGCACAAGCTTGTTTTCAGTGGATCATCACCAGGTTAATATAGCCACAACTATTTCGATCAAAAATGAACACCTGAGGCATAGGGTCAATAAATCAAAATTGCTGGTCAATAAGACTAGGTGATTAGCCCGGCCAGGATGGAGTCGAGGCAAATGGTGTGATAGGTATGATTACTTGTGTTAGTCGGGGGCCAGTGTTGACAGAGGGTCTGTACAAAATTCTTCTGTGCACACAGTCCGGGTTATGCAGCCGAACTGCGATTGCCACTGCCGTCGACAGCAGGTGGTATCTGACATGAACATCATTATACACGTTAGCTGCAGGTAGAAAACACAGCTACTGTGCCGCAATACCAAAGACAAGAAGAAAAATATACACCAGTGGCACGCCGGCTGAGTCCCCAGTAATTGATGGACATCCTTCAGGAGAGCTAACAGTCGGCTATCGTGCCGTAAAATGAGTTATATTATACCTAGACAATGAGATCGTGATTGGAGGGGGTGTCTAAGCAGGAGGGGATGAACAAAGGAACTCACAACACAAACGCCATTGGGGCCGGCTCCTAGCCATATCAGCAAGTGTGTCCAACCAAACGTGTCCATCGTCCTTACGACCCCAGCTAGGCAGTCGGGATGCACCAACCAAAGCCAACTTCAAAGTAAGGGTTTTCATTTCTCTCGACCAAGTCATCGCTTGGCCTCCTCTGCTCCTCTTCCAACCGCACCCCCGGTACGCAAACAATGCACTTCACGGGAGCCGGTGTGCTGGCATGCGCAACATGTGGTCCAGCCATCGGAGTCTGGTGCGTGATATAATGGAGCTGAGCGGTTCACTCGCTCATCCTGCACCAAATACACGATGTCGAACACGCTCATTGCTCACGCTGTGCTCCCATCAGACATGCGCTAAGTTTCAAAGGCAGCTATGATCGAATGCAACGAGCCTCTTTATGTCTATTGACCTGATAGGCCAGGTTTCACAAACATATATGAAAATTGAACGGACGGCTGCGTTATAAACTCTACCCCTCAGGGCGAGAGTAATGTCGCGTCTGTGCCACAGGTGGCGGAGATTGGCAAAAGCACCTCGAGCTTTTGCTATACGGTTCGTAGCCTCATCTTCGATCCCACGGGCGCTAATATAGCTGCCCAGATACTTGAGTTCTTGAACGACTTCTAGCTGATCACCACTAAGGTTCAGGGCAGAGGTGGATCCCTGACAATCTTGGAGAAGTACTTTGCATTTCGATAGAGCAAAGCATAGCCCAAAACGATAGACAGTCAGTGCTAATCGGTCCAGTGCTGCTTGACATGTTTGGGAGCTGTCACAGATTAGGACAGTATCGTCCGCGTACTCCAAGTGAAAAATTCGCTCACCAGGAAGTAGCTCCACAACTTCTAGGTCGTGTCCAGCTGTTTCCGTGACTTCATTAATAGCGAAGTTAAAGAGGGAAGGTGACAGCGGGCAACTTGGCTCTCACCGCTGGCGATACTGAAGGATGGCGGCAGTCTTCCATAAACCCTCACTCTACCGGAACTATGGGTGTACAGCGCTTTGATAATGTTTACGTATTTATCAGGCACGCCTTTCCTCAGCAGACAGTCCCAATGGGCACATCGATCGACTGAGTCGAAGGCGCCTTTTATTTCAAGAAACACGACAACGGTGGGTTGCCAAGAAACATGGCGGTGCTCCAACAATTGACGCAAAGTGAGGATGTGGTCAATGCGTTCTGTTACACAGTAGATCGGTTGGAATGAATCATTTGAGTTTATTTTGGGGTTACTGCACTCGTCACATTCTTCCTCGCACCACTGAATAGCCAACTGCACAATGCTTTCGAGCTCTTACGGACAGTCGCATGCTCGCTTTTCCAATATACCTTGCACGACACGAGCAAGAGAAATTGTACACACAAAACGTAGTTTGCAACCGCGGTATCCTGTCTTTGAGCTGCTGGCGAACAATTGGTGTTGAGGTGAAGCCTATGGGTAAGTCAGCTCCAAGGTACGTTTTGGCAGCGGTTAAGGTAAGCCTAGGGGTGTTCCGCTCCGCTATCTCATCACCCTTAAACGGTAACGATAGGTATATTCAGCGCTTTCTGCGGAAACAGATTTCATCTTTGTCCCTTGCGGTTCCGTGTGTTGCTGGATAAATTTTTCTGGGTATCCATTAAGTGCGAAGACGCTTCGGATGAAACTTAGTTCATCAGTGAGGATGCCTTCTGTGCATATTCTTTCGCACTCTCCGTGAGACGACAGACAAGATAACCTTTCTGACTGATTAGAAGGGAAATCAAAACTTGGGTGTATTACCCACTACAAGTCTCCTTTCTGTGCACTCTACTCCGCATTGTCCCGTCTGATGCCCTATTGATCTGGACGTGTAAAAAGTCAGAGTCGTCACATACAAGTTCGAGATTAGGCGTTATGTCACCATGCGCGGTCAAAGTGGGCCAGCAGATCTTCAGTGCACACCCCAACATCCGAGACATAAAGAATGTCATCTACATGTCCACCATAATAACCAAACCTGTTGATGGACTTCTTCAACTGATTGCTCTCCACTTCGCTCATGAACACGTCCGCGAGTAACGGGCCTAACGGCGAACCCATGGCCACCCCGCCTACTTGTCGGTACAGTGATCCGCTAAACTAACACTGGATATTTCTCGTGCATGTCAGCAGTAATAATAAATAATAAAAGTGTGGCAGCTATATGCAGTAACGGCATTCGCCGCCGTGCGACCACCATCAGTCGCGCGTGGGCTGAGTTTACCGCGAGGATACCCGCCCCTACTCGGACTCGAACCGCTGACCTTATGATTGCAATCCAAGCGTGCAGACCACTCGGCCACAGGCCCACAGCAGATGTCCTAAAGGATGTTGTGGGATCAATGAATTTATCATGGCAAAAAACAAAGCTTAACAATTGTCGCAGGTAAAGAGTGAAAACAGGATGTGCTTGTATCAACAAAAACAAAAATAACGCATATCGGTGGACTCACCGAAGTTGCACTTGTGTACGTAGTTTGGTTATTTGTCTCAGTAACATTGGCTGTCTTGTAGTGCATGTGGGGTAAAGTTCATCGAGTTTAGTTTTGGATTCAGTCAAGGTAGAAGCAGGGATGACGAGTATTCGGTGAGCGTTTCACCACTGGGACACCTGAAGTGAGAAAAAATGCCGGCGGCATTTCAGCCTGCGATACTGTGTGGTTGACTTCAAGTGTTGGCCTCGGCGTGAGGAGTTTTGACTTACTTTCAAGCAATGTAGGCATGCGTGGTTTGGATACTTTAGGATCTGAAACACCAAAATAGGATCACCGCGCATGCGACGATAATAACCACCGAAAACTCCTAGGGTCTGTAGACTATGCTGGTAAGGGAGATGAGTTAAGTTCTTAACATTTGTGTTGCACTCCTCTATAAAGTACTGTGTGTGCGCTCTTTCGAACCAGTTCGACGAACGCTACTCAGTGCTCTTCATCTCTTGGATCTAACTTGTGTGGATCACATTGTTACATCCGTTCTGTTTCGACACATCCTTTGTCGCATTCTGCTTGTGAAATCACATTACTCCCGAGCTTCCGAGAATAATCTTGATCTCATTCTGTAGAAGAAGCGGAGGACACCCAAACTACCCTGCAACCATCCCTACAGGCGGCAACATAACATAGTTGCGAGACATTTTGCGTCATTCACCTATTAAACATCGCGTCTGGATCACTTAGGTTAAATTGCCAAGGTCCCGCGGGCATCGTCGTGTGGTTGTGTGTGCATCGCTGAATGCGGCTCTCTGCGTGCGAGCGGAAGAGAGAGGCATTGAGACAGCCAGCTGTCTCGGCGGGCTAATCCTGACGCCAAAGCAATCAATCCAGTCTCTAAGGTAGGACTAACTATCACAAGTTCATGTGCCCTGCTGAGCGTTACCAACCGATCCGTGGTGCCTAAAGTCGACCATGGAACGTGAAGTAAGCTGGTCAAAATAGGGGTTTTAGGTGGAAAGAGCTCAAGATATTTTCATTCGAAGTGCGGGAAAATCAAACCAAGCGAGTGCAGGCTGATCAACAGAAAGCCTGCCACATTTTAGCTCTGTGCAAAGTGAAATGCTGTTCCACTAGATGAAACCGTAATTGCACCGTCCCAGAAGTATGAAAGCCTTGCAGATGTAGTTGAAAAGATGCTGGAACCAATATAGCTTCCTAAGGAACAAGCATAGGAGAATGTATAACACAGGTCACTTCACCGAACTGCACTGCAAACCAAACCAACAACGCCGAATGGTACACTAATAAAGTTGCTCCTGCTAAAAACACCCAAGAATCCAAATCGCCCAAGTGTTCCCGAACACTTCACACCCATTCCGTTTACAGCAATTTCCCACAAACTCACCGAACCCCAAGACACATGCAAATACCAGAGGCAGCTGGGCCGTTGTTTCATTAAAAATCAGATGCTGCCATTTCTATTACCACACCCATATGTAATATGCAACGCAACCCTGCACAGTTGCATAGCAAATCGCTCGGTCTCCCAACTATGGTCCATACTCCTAGGAAAGACACACAGAAACAATTGGATGTCCTATCTATAACATGTATCAGCGTTCCTGAGTCAACATCGAATTCTTTGAAGGGAAACTAAGTGGATGAGCTGAACCAATGGAATACCGTAAGTTACCTCCTCCTTAGCCTGACTAAACCCACCAACTTGACGAGGATCACCCGCCACCTGTATTCTAAGAACTATGGCCAAGCCAGGAGCTTCTTCGGGTTGCGCTAAACTCTGTCGATGAGGTGGAAGCAGCGTTGCTTTCGACTGCTCGTTTCCAGAACGAATTCGTTTTGGTCCGCGTCTTTCCAGACATTCCATGGGGCGAGCGCAAGCAAGCGAGGCAGAGTTTAAAAGAGTTCCGGCTAAACACAGCAGTCAGAAGCGTTTTTGTCCACGGCGTCCCTCAGTCTCATAAGGACGAAGAATGTGAAGCAAAGGCTCACGATCAAGATTAGTGGTGCTATATTCATGAGGCCCTGCTCTTGGATGACTTTGTAAATACTTCTCTCTCGTGTCCGCCAAGATCAGAAACCTACAAAGGGTGCTGCTCAAGGATAATTAAGGTTGTGCTAAAAACTAGACAGATGGCACTTACACTACTAGGACGCTGGTATTTACTTCGGAACAGACTACCAACCGAGCTCCGGTTCAAAGCAGAAAGCGAAACTGTCGTCCGACTTAAAGCACCACCGCAGCAGACAAATGAAGTAGGAAGTTTATGCAAACTTCACACCGGAAGCATGGCTGAAGGAAATGAAGATGTTCCTGTGCAACCCTGCAGCCACTACACATGCATTGTTCAAAGTGGGTTGTCAGCAGGGTTAAGCACAATACTAGTGAATCCAACTCCAGGTGACTCGCCGATAATATCACAAAAAACGGCTAGCGGCCTAACATCCAACGGTCGGCCCAACCACTCATCCTAGCCACAAGTGTTTCGGATCACTGCTGAGAACCGAAACACATTTCTGCATGCACTCAAATACTCAAGGCCTTCACATCAGGCAACAAACGCTTGGGATCTGCTCTCCAATACCGAGACTTGGTTCCACTCAGGGGTTACGGATGCCGAGATCACGATTCAGTGCATGTCATTGTTCCGACAGGCTCATCCCAGCAGGAGAGGGGATGCTATCCTATGCCATCGTAACGACTTACAATTCAAGCCACTGGACGGTTCTACTCTAACATTAGATAGACTAGTATTTACATTTGTATTTAAGAATTTAGTTTGGCTACTCGTACAAGATTTCTTGAGGTTTGAGGGGTTTAAAGTTATTCTTGCAGTAAGTCAGGCGTTTCAGCGCAGAGGTTGGCTGTTTTGCTTAGTGCTGGAACCGTACTTGCTTCAGAGCTTTTACAGAGAGGAGCTACACCATCTACGTTGATTTCACTATAATTATTATGTTTTATTTCGAGGCTGATTGCACTTCGCGTGCTGGTATGCAATTCAGGTAAAATATCTGTAGTATTCGGAAAGCTGTCTGGAGGTGGGAAAAGTTGCTTTGCTAAACTTCCCTTTGCAGGGAGGTTTTATGGGTCAGTATTCACTGCGTGTTGAAGCTGGTGCTCCGGCTCTCTGAATTCCTTTTTGATTAACTCGTTTGCTACCAATTATTCACTGCATTGGGAAAGTGAGGGGCAGTTTCTTCGCGCATCTTTCTTCCGGAGCTTTACACAATTGCACAAGCTGCCTTCCATGTTAGCTGCCTTATGTAGGTAGTTTATTAGGCAAGTTGAATGCTACTACATTTTTCGAAAATCGAACTCTTTTAGACAATTCTGTTGCAATAGTTTCAACAAAGGCGCTGGCAGGTTTAAAGTGATTAGTTGGGTTTACCTTCGCTTGCATCAGGACAGTCAGTTTGCAAGCATTTGGAAAGCTATGTACAAATAGTCGAAAGAAGCTAGTTTTACTTTGATCCCATTCAGCTCATCTTGGATGGACTTGAATTTCGCAAGTGTGTCGGTCAACGGATAAATCAGTTTATCGGATTTACTTCGCAGCTCAGGAGGCTTAGTGGGTTGGCGCAATTAGAGCTTTAGCAGCCGCTGACTTTTTCTGGAAAACCGTAGTAGAACTTGCGCGTCTGCTTGACTTTATAAGCGGCGGTTATAAACGTTGGACATTTAGGGGGTAATGCAAAATAGGGAAAATACTATAGGACCTCACTATAGTGCCTAATCTGGACCACATCAAATAATGCAAATACAGCGTACAGGAGTAAAAAAAACCACCATTCTAGAATTTTTGCTGCCTGCAGCGTTCAAGTTCCGCGCCGTTATTCGCTTGAGACACGGTCACTGGTCATCTTTAACAGCCTTCCAGGCACTTGTGCAGACCCGATTCATGAGGAGTGAGTCGGATTTCGTTGAGATCGCGGCTGCATCGATCACATATTCACTTTGCGTTAATTGTGGGAGCACCATCATATATATCTGCGGCTCATCGTTGTCGTGTTCCTCGACATCAAAGATGACTTCTGTTAGAGTGATCCATATGCTCTTCCGGACTCTACTAAGAAAAGGTGTGCCCGAGAAATATGTAAATATTATCCGATTGCTCTATGCGCGTATCTCAGACAGAGTGAGGACTTACGGCAAGCTGTCACCTGTCCGCTGTCACCCTTCCTCTTCAACTTTGCAATTGACGAAGTCATGGAAATCCCGTTCACAGGACCCGACTTAGAAGGTGTGGAGCTGCTCCCAGGTGAACGACTACTTGAATTGGAGCATGTTAGTGACATTGCCCTGATGTGTGAGAGCCCACAAAACTTGCCAAATAGCAATAGACAAATTAGTACTGGGTGTCAGCCGTTTCGGGCTTTGCTTTGCACCCTCGAGGTGCAAAGTTTCTTTCCAATATTTGCAGAGACAGCTTCCTGCTCTGATCCCTGAAAGGAATCACAAACGGCATAGCAATAGCTCGAGACCATTTCGCTAACCTTCGCCAAATATGGCGCCAGCGAAACATCACTCACCCCCTGAAGGGTAGAGTTTACGATGCAGCCGTAGGTTCGACTCTACTGTACGGTTGTGAAATCTGGCCTATCAGATCGGCAGACATAAAGAGTCTAGTTAAGTTCAACTACTGGTATCTTCGTAGTTTAGCTCATATCTGGTGAGAAAAAGGGGTGAGCAATGAGCGTGTTTGACGCGTTGTTTGTTGCAGAGAAAAGGGAAGTGAACCGTTAGTACCGATGCATCCCGCATCAGACTCGGATGGCTGAGCAATGTATTGTGTATGTCAGGCCAGAGAAGTAGTAGGTTCCGCCCTGTTCCATTCCGTTGAATGCAATTTTGCAAGTTATTTATCCGACCAGCTCCAGCACTCCACCGGATGCGTTGTGGGCGACTTTGTTGGAATCAACCCTCTTCGGCCTCTTTACGTGCTACCAAGGGTTCTTGGAAATGATCGTTATATCTGAAGCCTATCGAACGGCAGCCTGGTTGGGATTCCGTTGATGAGCACAGTGATAAATGGGCAGCGAATTCTAGAACCGCTGTAAAAAGTGGCAATCACCGATAGTGTTCCTGGGTCAAACTCCCCGAAGTTCTTCCTTCGGTAGGACTGATTTACTTTTCTTTCCCGGGAATGATAGCAAGAGTCTTATTTGTGGTCGCGGTTATGGCACTTATAACAAACGTGACGCTTCAATGGTGTAGCAGTCTGAAGATTCCCCGTTTTGCCTGTGTAACATTCTAACTAAAATTATTTAATTGTACTCCTAGGCGACCGGTGTGGTTT